TACAATTAGAGCATGTCATGGCTATTGTGGAGTTATTATGTAAAGCAGCTGTGCTTATGCAACTGTGGTTTTTTGCTTTCTTGCCTTGCTGCATTCTTCCTTTCTTACTCTGTCTTTTCTCACTAAATCCAAGTTGTATTGCAGTTTGATCTGTTGCTTAGAAATCCTCTGTGATGCCTTTATACAAGGGGAAACTGCAGTATTTGTCACTAGGTGAGGGTTTCTGGTAATGCAGCTTTACTATTCTCCCCTTGCTCCAATAACATGCCCCTTAAATCTCCATGCCCACCTGGCAGCTCCTTTAAAATCCCTAAATATCTGTATCATTTTAGTATATGTTGCCAAAACAGTACTAGAAAAGCAAACCAACATACATTTCTGTGCTTTTGCTTTTGCCCTTATTTAACTTATACACCTCCATCGCTCGTTTATATCATGTGGAAGCCTGGGCTGTTAAAGACGCAGTCATCAAAGAGTTGCTAAATAAATCAGATACAGGTATCTAGTCATCCAGTAAAACAGTAAAATTGGACCATATTGATAAATATCGAGGCACTAATGGTAGATCAGAAGTTGGCTTTGATGGTTTTACACATCAAAGAGGTCCCACATCAGAATGTTGGGTCATTTATTGCTCAACAAGCTATCCATTTTTTATATCTGTCATGATCCACGCAATCTCCTTGTGTCTTTTTTTTTCTGCCCAGATTTGGAGCTGTGCTGAATTTTGCATAGTTTTGACTTTTCCCTGGATACTGTCTTTTCATTAGAGGCTGGCTTTCCCTTAGGACTGAACCATATCAGTTGTCGGCAAGTCACAGGTTCAGTCTATCTCTGTGTGTGTTATTAGCGATGACCATGGCTGCACAAAGTCACCTGGTTCCAAAAATCCAAGTTGCCTGATACTATTTTAAGTCTCTTTTTCTCCATGCTAATTACAGTGTGTCACAGAAGCAGTGTATTAAATAGAATTTTGTTGTATTGCCATTTTATGTAATAAACTAAGTGAGAGTAGATCATCAATGTGTTGTTGAAAGAAAATGGCAAGCTTTTATACTCAACCCCATTGACCAAGCCGTCGAACCGTCATTCACTACAATAACTTTCTTTTTTGTGCATTCTTTTTATTTTTGTTTACTGAAATGAAATATGTAATTTAATAAAAAACTATTCTTTAATCCAAAACATTGGTATAAAATGCAAATCATTAAGGGATGGTGTTCTACAACTCTTAGCTGCATCTCACCTTCCATGAAATCATTTGTCTAACTTGGCAGCATGGTGTGGAGGAAGTTCAGCAATTTCATTTAAGTGTTGCATGGGGTAATTCCTAGAGTTGTCTGATGCTGGTGCCCTGGGAATGAAAATGGAGTCTTAGGTCTGTGAATGAAATATCTCTTTTGTTTCTGTTGGTACGTTTCTCTTAGTTGTTATCTTGCTGGTATTAACCCCTGCCTCAGTCATGTCTTTTACAGACTCTAAAAGATCTTCCATGATTTGTTGGATTTGCTCCACCCATCGTCCCATTACCTTAGCTTCTTTTTCCCTGCTGAGCAAAAAAGGCAACCCCACAGAATGATGCTGCCACCATCAATCCTCTCTGTGCATACGTTGTGCATTCTCTTTTTTCCGTCAGACATGAATTTGTATGTTGTGTATCTTGGCAGAGAGACCTTCTTCCTCATGTGTGCTGTGTGCCTCTAAATGTTACTTTTTATGGCTGTCATTCAACAATGGTTTTGTTTTTTACTAATCCATACAGGCCAGATTTATGGAGAGAATGACTATATGTTGTTGTATCAGCAAACTCTTTCACCTGAGCTGTAGCTCTCTAAAGGTCCTCCATGCATATCACACATTTCATCTCTAGAATCCTAAAAAAGAATCCTCTTTTGTGCCGTTTTTCCTGAAAAACCTGCAATAACGCTTGCTCTGCGAGACTTAAGTTGGGCCCAAATTTAATGCATCATTTATAGAGCTCTACCTCAGATTTCTTGCATGCAGTCTCTGTTGTTTCTGTATACACAAAGAAAAGCAACAATACAGCTCAGTCTGTGGGCCACAAGGCACATGTGTTTGTGTGCATCCAGGCAGACGGCAGAAAATGACTCCAGATTTTATCTTTCAGCATTTAAGTCTAGAACGCTCTGATTAAACACAACCACAGAATAATTTTCCTGTTGTAATGCCTTCAATTAAACCCCTGATTTTTAGTGCTGTGTCAAGTTATTTTACCATGGCAACACTGATTACATTGTTATCTGAATCTCTTTTTAATTTATTTTTGTAAAAGGAGGTTATTGAAAGAACATGTTTAAGCAAATGATTACTTTGTTTTTTTTGGTATATATGAATTGCTTATTTTTGAAAACATTTCTACACTTGTTGCTAAACATCACATCATGTCATATCCTATTTCCATGAGACAGTAATTGTAAGATATCATCTTTACCATTAACACCATCTGATCTGGTGCACATGTGTTTACGGTACAGTAACAGCTCCTTCAGTTGCAAACAGATGTGTGTTTATGTAACGGCAAGCGTCTGCCTTCGTACGTGCCCTGAGATCTTGGTTATTGCAAGCGATGCTACAAAGCATAGAGCACCGCTTATGGCACGCATTTACAATTTATCAAATAAATGGGATCCCTTCATGTGGCCTGGGCCTGCCTCTCAGGCAGAGTGGAGTAGTTTTCCACTGGAATAACAGGCGCTAGAACAAGCAGACCATTGTAGCCACAGCCAGCACGGGGACCCCCAAGGTGCGAATTAATGATTGACCCCTGATGTAATCAGGATAAATAGCTCCCCGTAAAACAGAAGGATATGGGCCAGAGGAACGGCAAGAGAAAGAACAACATGAGGAGCCAGGGAGAGGAAGGTACTATCTGGCCTGGGCGCTTTTTAAAAATCCCACAGGGAGAGAAACCTAGCATCTCTTCCTGGGTCTTTGGAGACTCAGAAACAACAGACTGCTTTTTAAAAGCATGTCTGTCATCACTGGTTAAATCTTTACCTTTTTTCATTGCTTATGTCTTTTCCCCGCGTACTTTCTTTCTTTACTTCTTTGTCTTCTGTGTTTAACACCAAAGAATGAAAAATAATGGATTACCTTAAATGTCTAAATCAGTTATTAAAAGATTTACACCTTAAAGTTCCATTATTTTAATATTTCTCCTTCTTTTACCACGGCATGTCTCATTCAACCTTTTGCAATTTTGATGTAGCAAACTGTACATTTTTTGTGCTCAGAGGCCCTAAAAGCCAAATGGTATTTAATAGATTTTCCAAGGCTTTTTCTCTGCTTGTCAAAATTGCTCTCAATGGGTCAAGTGCCAGTGAAATGTTTTGGGAATAAGGGGGGTTGGGGTGGGAGAAGTGTTTAACAGCATGAGAAGACTTTTGATTGTGTAAAGCGAGAGCAGTAGATGGGGCTGAGTTATAAAACTTTAATTGATCTGCGTAAAGTGTGGAAGCTACTGCTGGCTCACATATTCCAGCGTACCCTCTGAACCCCTCCAAAGTGGTGATCATTAACAAAAAGGGCTTCTTTCCATTCAAAATTGCTGAATGACGCAGAATCAGTCATAAACGGTTAGCTTTTATGGCCTTAGATTTATATGATAAGATTCACAGTTTTTATGTGAACATGCTGCATGTTTGCCAGGTGCTGAAGCACCCATGGCACATACTTCCAAGTTGTATCATTTTATATTGGAAACTAAAATGTCAGTTTTACAACTTTAACCGTCAAAATGAAGTAGGAAACTCTTCTATATGTGTTAAAGAAATAACTGGACTGTTGTTTCTCACTCAAATTTCTTTGAAACATTTAACATTGTTTTATCTTCCTGCATATTAAAAGATATATATTACCATATAAATATGATATAAGTATCAATTTTGCCAACACAGTTTAACTCTAAATAGCACCAGGTTTTACATTTAACAATCTAAAAGGCTATAGAGGATGAAAACATAGTTTTGTATGCTGAAACAAGTATAAATGCATAGAGGTTTGGGATCAAAGAAACAACTACTTTTGCAGTGGTGACAAAATTTATATTCAGGTTTGATTTTATTAATGATCTGGCCTTTCATACTATGTTGACTTTTTTAACTATATCTAAGCAATAGGTTTTTAATTAAATAATATATTGCAAAAATGGATTCAGATCTATAACTGTGCAGATGATTAAAACTGTCAAATTCAGGTAATATTGCAAAACAAGTTGGAAAAAAATGAATCACATAGAGACATTGGGGATGGATCAACATGACAGCAACATTTCATCAATAGAATAATCCAAAAATAAATAAATTGCGTCAAAGTGCTTCCATGGATGACTTTATTGTATGTTTGATTTAGTTTATCATCAGTTTTTTTTTTTTTTTTTTGTAGTCATGTACAACTTTATTTCAGATACAAACAAGAATCCAACATAATACTAGCTTTCATATCCATACACAGTTACTGGAAGGCAGCGGTATGCTATCTCATCTGACAGAAATGTCCTTAACAACATACTGAGTGAAAGGGGCTCCGACTTGAAATTAACAGTTAAGTGCATCCATGCACCTATGAAACTACATCATCCTTTCCACTTTGGTGTAGGCACAATCATGTTGTCAATTCTTGGCTGTGACAATAATAATATTGGATTAGACAAATAAAGTCGTTGACAGACTCATTACGTGTAAGATGATTCCTGGCAGAACACAGAGACTGTGAAGAAATTGAAATCCATTCACCCCAGTCAATAGCCAGAGGAGGGCTTCATCATGATCGCAAAAATCATGAATTGGGCAAATATTGATTAAGACAAACTATTTTAAATGTTGCTCCTGTTCTTTAAAAAGTTTTGAATACCACTTACTTGAATATGGGCTACAGTATTTTTAATTTATTTTTTTCTTTAAGTCACACTCGATTGCTAAACAGCTTTCACGTTTATGATGTTAAACACAAACTATCTGTGTTCTCTCTTTTTCTCCTAGATGACAGTGAGCCAGTTGACAGCATGTTTGACACAGAAGCTGACCTCCCTGGTTTAGCAGCTGGCAGCACCGACAGCCCAGAAGAAGACGCAGAAGACGGCATCATCAACATGTCCTCACTGCCCTCACCGACTCCTTCCCATCGAAACAACCACCACCACCATTTGCTGCACCCCCACATCTACACGTCACACCATCTCCACAACAGTAGCAGCAGCAATGACCAGGACTTCACCACACCGAAGGAGGGCTCTCCCTACGAGGCACCTGTCTACATTCCTGATGACATTCCCATTCCCAGCGAGCTGGAGGTGCGAGAGTCCTCTGTGCCCGGTGCTGGCCTGGGCATATGGGCCAAGACTCGTATTTGTGCTGGTGAGAGGTTTGGTTTGCACAGCACAAAGCATCATGGGTCCATGGACAAAGACAGCTCCTTTGGATGGGAGGTAGGAGTCGCAAAAGACTAAATGTTTATTGTCTATGTCAGTTCAATTTGCTGCATTACTGCTTTTACCCTAAAGGAATCCTGTGGAACAAATGCCAAAAAAAAGAACTCCAGCTGTAGTCAATAGATTTATTTAAACATAATCATCTCTCTATTTAGATTTTCTGCCATCACTCTTGGTTCTCAACTGCATATATCTCATCATCAATGTAGAAGCTTGATGATCATTCCATTTATATTCCCTTTATGATCTGACCTTATCTTTGATCCCCCGCACACAGACACTCCTACACGTCTACATACACATAATAGACTCATCTGCAGCAGCACTACAATGTCAGATGGAAAAATCTGACTGATTAGTGGAGGTATCAGCTTTTATGCGCTTTGGTTTGAAGCGAGCACCCTCATTTGGTCACGCCATCTGATATGGAAATGGAAGAAGCATGGTCCAGTCCGGTGGCGGCGTATTGAACTATTAATTTTCATTTCAACATGACATTAGAGGATATTGAAGTTGCTTCAGTAAGCTCATTGGGGGCGGAACGGAACTGCTGGTCCCTGTCTTTCTTTCTCATGAGCCTAATAAGGGATGAAATCTTCTGGCCTGCTTTTCATTTTTACAAACTCCATCACTGTTCACTCTTACATGGCTAATATTACCTTTGTTGAGAGCAAGGAACCTAATCTTAGATGACCTGTTGCAGTTCTTTATAGCAAAGAGATATACATGTTTGAATGATTTTCTAGTTTGCTGCCTTCAAAACTAAGGCCAATGCGGCATGACATGTTATTTAGTGGTTACTTGGCATTTATTGATGCTTTCATGAAGTGGATAAAGAAGGGTCTAAGTAAAAGGCAAAGGAATGAGCTGTATGGCAAGACCTGTAAATAATGACCACAGAAATTAACCATATATGGCAAGACCTATAAAATATGATTCAAAAAAAGCCAAATAATGAAACAATAAAACCAAACACTCCAGGATCAGGATAGGTATGCCTTGTAAATGCTTTAAATTAAGCCTTTTGTTTTAACAATAGCTTTATTTATATTATATTATATACTCATTATACTCAAAATTTGGGTTAATTCTTACATTTCTGCAATTTGCTTCTGTGAAGTGATTACTGTTAGAGAATTTCAACAAAGACGTAGTTTTGCCTAGACTTCTTAACATCTGATTTATCTAAATGCTACGTACCATCGTGTACAAATCTTGGAGTTTATTTTAAATATTACTGTGATCAAAACTTACACTATATGCTTTGGTCAGTTAAGAATAAGATTCAGCTTTATGTCAATAAAAATCCCTTTTGAGGGTGCTGTAAAACAATGATAAATATATTGAAACATTTTAGGCATGGTGAAGAATCTTTGGAGCCATTTTTTCTCCAAAAGCCTTCAGAAGCTTGTTAGATCAAAGCATCATAAAACATCATATAACACTGTTCACATTTTCTACTATTGTTTTTCTTAAAATTCTAGATAATTTAGTTTAAACTTTTGAGGACTGCTGTTAAAAAAAAATATATATATATGGGTCATGACTGGATCGTTTAACACCACAGTGATCAAAAATGTTAGGTCAAAGAAACAACCAAAAATGTTTCACCAGGGATAAAACCCTCCTCTGCCTTGGTCAAGTTCATTCCTATGACCTAAACTGGAAGCGCTGAAGAGAAGAATACATGGTAGGACCGAGAACTCTCTGAACTTTGTCTCAGATTTGGCATCCAGACAATGTTTTCAATGTTAATCAAGAAGACTTAGTGGTGTGCTATTTTTGTGGTATACATACTTTCATATAAAATATAATTTCTGACCTTTGCATTTTTGTATATTTTTCATCCATTGATAAATGCAATTAAATTAAAGGTTGACTTTTATGTCTGTGGGTTTTTGTTAATCTTTAAGAGGGTTGGCAGTAAATGTGGAGGGTGCTAATTATAGATTAAATCGCATTATATTACATATTTTTACTCTAAATAAAATGTAATGATTGTTTAAACAGTGCAACTTCAGTATATCTGTGAAATTTTACTTAAAGAGTTTGTGACACTAGAATTTTTTCCCCATTACAGGTCATAACAGTATTATAGTTTTAAATAATTTTCCACAAACCTCCAATTGACAGGGTTAAAGAAAACCAGAGAGGGTCATTTTCATAGTTTCAATTCCAATAACTTTTCTTTTCACGTTTTACACCATTTTCTTCCCACCAGTTGTAGCAGTATGCCGGCAATTAAAGTACACAGGCTCAAGCTAAGTGGATGCATGCCAGGTGTAACATTTTCTTTTTTAAATTTGAAATCATGGTTTGCCATTTGGTGTGCATAGGGCTTATTTCCAAAAGCTACACCTTCCCCTTAGCTCTCATGTTCTCTCTCAGTTTTCTTCCTCCTTTCCATCTCTCTCCAGACAGCCAACTAATGCATATTCATTAGCAATGCTTTCACTCTTCAGCTTCCGGAAATAAGGGCAACTTGAGCTTCAGACATAAAATAGCACGTGTGTGAGGACATAAATACTTGTAAACTTCAACAGAGGAAAGTTTTTAGTCAAATTTGTTCCTAAAACAGCTGGTTTTACAGGACTTGAGGCGTTTCAACTCTTTATACATGTATATACCAAAGAACTCAGTAGCCATGAAATACAGTAGGTCATATATAAACACCAATGGGAATATTGTGATTGGCTCATTCGGAATCAAACTGTATTTCAAATGATAGGGGTGGTTTATGCTGATCAATAGTTTTAAAAGCATTCATAAACAATAGTTCCATTTATGTGCTTAAAATTTGGACCAGGTGACCAGACTGTGCAGATGTCTGGAACTTTTGGAAGCCACCCTGGGTAGCAAAGAACTTTTAGGGACGTTCATTTCATCCCCCTCTTTCATTATGCCACACAGGAACAGCAATAGCATGTCTTGTTGGCCATGTGGCTTATGTAATGAAAGCAATAATGCCTCAATTTATCAAAGAACCTGTAAAAGTTCCACTGTGGACACTTTAAACAGTCAGGACTTAACTTCAGCCCTTTTTTTTACCCTTCTTTTATTGTTGAAAATAAATTTGAAAACTCTGCACAATAAAGTGTTTCTATTACAATAAAAGCCTGTTGCAAGTAAAAGATATCATGATTGATAATTTGATTTTCGGCACATACTGTATGGATAGGGAATTTGATTATAATTTTTTATTTCCAGTCAAAACACATTTGAAACCAATCAAGTAATTGTGTGTGTAAACATAGGCATTAAATTTTAAGGAACATTTAGTCTCTTTTAGGGTATTCAATTTACATCTGGCCAATCTCTAATCCAAATTACAGAGGTGTGTGTTTCTCTAACTTTATTGTCAAAAACCAATAAGAGAAGTGCATTTGAGTGTTCAAAGATGACATTCAGCAAATTATATTTCAACATTTTAAGGGCTTAAATAGCAGCTGGTATGCATTATTTTTCTGATTAATACACATCTAAGCTATGGGTACATCTTACTTTCTCTTTTCTTTCAGGTCCATCATTGGGAGAAACTGATCTGTATTTTCTTTTTTTAAACGGTATTAGATGGACTGATTTTGGCTAGGCTTCTATTTTTTACATGTCCTGTCTGGTTTTAGGGCTGGAAACCTTCAGAGAATCTCCTCTCTCAGACTCTTATCACAAATAGTCATAACAGAGGGGCTGTTGATAGTCATCAAGAGACTCCCTCAGGACTCCCTTAGACCCCATTTCTCTTCTCTTTCACCATCAGCTCCTCTACTCATTTACTGCCTCTGGTCTTAGATAAATAGACAAACGAGAGAGTGACTTGTGAATTTTGCTTAAGTAAAGAATAAAGTACAAGATACGACGACAACAGAGGGTGAAAATATTGTATGAAAACATACGTTTTTTTGGACATAACATGTTTTTCAGCCTCAGACAAAATCTATAAATGTATTATGTGAAATAATATGATAAAGTCTAGGATTATTGTGATGTTAATCAGATGCTTTTGAAGTATTACTTTCTATTAATAGATTCCTTTAAGACACTTCCCTTCGAAATTGTATTTATGTGAGAAACGTTTAATTTTGTAACTGATAACTTATTTGAGATTAAATGGATGATCTGAAAGGAAAATATATTGGCTACATTTACAGGACACTTCATAAAGTAAACTTGTTGCTGAGTAGCAACCCGAGCAAACTCTCCAATGGCATGGGATGAACTCAGTACATTTTGGAATCTAGATGTTGCGAAGACTACTTGAAGTTAGAGTGGAATTCTCATTTCCTAGTAAGAGTCAAGCATATTGGAGATTTATGTCAATTTGATGGCATTGAGTGTTTAAAAAACTAGTTTTCTGATCTAGTGAAATTTTACCACAATCGTTCTTTGATTTACAGCATGGTCCAAAAACATAAAAGATCCTGTGAGCAGCAGATGTATCTATGAAAATGAAAATCTTAAGATCAGACGATCATGGTGCCAAAAAGATGCAGCAGAGATTTTTTTGGTTCACTTTGGGTTCCTAGGCAGCAGCTGAGCAATGTTTCAATGCCACCGCCTACCTAGGAGCTTTAAAGGACCACATCAATACCTCCATGAAAACACTGATACAGTAACTGCTTACTGCAGGATATGGCACAATGTCACAAAGCCCAAATAATCAATGAACATGACAATGAGAACACTGACACGCACAGTCACAAATTCTCACTCTAATACAGAACATTTGGGATTTGTTGGAAAGGGAGATTTGCATCAAGGAAAGGATTGTTATTAAATCTGCACCACAGAGATTTGACTAATCTCCCAGGGCAAACAGGGGTCTAACACAGTACCAGTTAGGTGTACCCAGTAAGGTGCTTGGAATGTGTATATGGTCAAAGAGACAGGTCAGAGTTTATATAAACCACTAACATGTTTGCAGTAACCTACATTGTGGTCTTAATCTGGCCTTCAGATTAATCCATGGAGCTAAACAAAATGTTTAGTACTTTCAGGCT